TATCATATTGTTATGTTTCCTTTATATTTCGTCTAAAGGTATATCTTTTATTAATATCATGATTTGAGCTGTACTTATTATTTTTATTTTTTAAAAATTAAATAATTTAAATTAATAACAGTACTCACTAATGCAATAATATCACGCAAAAAATATTCCTGGAAGACTAGTTATCTTTTCCGTCTCATTGGAAGAGTTAAGGATAATTGCCTCTTATTAAAAAAAAAAATGAAATGCTATTTCCACCAGTATTTTTATATTCCACGAATTAACAATCCTGATCATTTGACGATAAAAAAAAAATGAAATGCTATTTCCACCAGTATTTTTTTATTCCACGAATTAACAGTCCTGGTCATTTGACGATGGTCATTTTGAAATTAATATTTTTTTTCCCTGTGTCGAAGTAAACAGCTAAAACTATGTATTCAATTTTGACGTAAATACATTACTAACTTTTTGTTAACCCAACTATGCCTTGCCACAAAAAGTTGTCCAATATTTATTTATACCAAAGGGATGTTTCTTTAATTCTGAATTTTTTTAAGTTTCTTTTTTTTTAAATTATGTTTTCTTAATTTTCTTTTCTTGATTTTTTTTTAAAAATAGAAATATTTATGCCATTAATGTGTGCATTATGGTAGATAGAACTATCTAGTTTCCGCTAATCAAATCCTAAGTAGTGAAACAGTGATAGCCTTTATTTATTTAATTAAAACGTACTTAAATAAATAAAAATAAACTTTATTTATTTACTTAGTTTTGTGTATTCTGAAACTATCTTTTATAAAGAACGTGGGTCATAAAAGGATTAAGAACATAAAAATTTCGGGTGTTATTAAGTTTCGAATGACGATTTTTGAAATTTTCAAAGCGTTATCAAAGTATTTATACATTGTTATGTATTATAGAAAAATTGAGATGAGATTTTCTAATTCACGATTTAATTCGTGTATTATCACGATGAATTTTTCGGAGAATTATTCAATAATTTTCAATGATATAGGGTTATTACCCTTTTTTTAGGAGAGAAAAAAAGTTGATGTATGCAGATTATGTTGCAATCACACAATTTCAACAGCCGCAAAATGAGTTCATCTATGCAAGAACTGAATTGAGATTGTAAAGTTATGTTTTAAATTGTTTTAATAAGCACCTAGTTCCAACTCTAAACGAATTTTCCAGCGTACTCTTCCATTAAATCTCTCTTACTTTACAGGACACGTAACACAGCACCTCACGATCACAGCCATAGCCGTGAGGTAACGTCACTCCAGATTCATTAAACGACTAAATAAAGCGAATTCACCAACAGCATTTTGGTATCGCACCAATGTCCGAACACGCCGCTATTAACATTCCATAAATTAATGACATGCGCTCTGCAGAAGCTGCCCGCACGACAAAAGTTCTTTTCGTGATGAACTTCTTAAAAAAAGGCTTAATTCATGGATTTTGGAAGAAGAAAAAAACACTTCGACTTCAACTTTTCGGAAGGTACGGGCATGATTAAACTGTCACATCAAGTAAAGCACCCATTACCTGGTAGTGCACGATGATCGGGTGTAACGCAGTAGTTGAAGAGTTTTCTGGAAAAGAAATATTGGCAATTTATTCTGTTAATAACTAGTCTGAGCCATTTTCTTTTTGAAGTCAAAATCACGATTTGAGGCTAATCGCTGTGGGTTATGGGAAATGCCTGAACTGCTGTGTGTTTTCACGCCAAGAATACTCCTATTTGCTACCTTTTTTGAAGCAAATGGTAATTAGTAGCATCAGATAAACTACCGAAAAAAGAACTTTAACTTTATGGTAAACGGTGACTGATGAGCTATTCAAATCTATAAACAGCTGACCAGGGTTTATTTTTTATGTGTCAGCGGTTTAGTGTTTCCCACGATTAAAGTAATTGTATTTAATTATTCGCACCATAATTTAGTTTCGTCAAATTGTTGATGTAGATTCAATGCATCAGTCATTATTGATACATATGTAAATGTCATTCGTTGACCTGAGGACGAAATTTTCTAGAAAGCTATTTTCGGTATTGAAATTGATGTGAAATGAATTAAAAAATAAATTGATATTTGATTGCAATATCAATTAGTTTTATATTTCGAGTTCAAATATGAATTATTTAGTATCTGTAATAATTTTGATTATATCTTTTCGCACAATATCTACCGTAAGCATAAATGTAACTTTAAAGTTTTGAATTATGATAGATTTGTAATCAGCAAAGTCAAAAACTACATTTTCACTAATTTAATTATTAATGAGATCACGGTAATTTGGATTTTGTTTTCAAATTCAATATCAAGAAAAAACCCTATATTTTTGAGTATCGAATGCAAGTTTTTGATTTTTTTCTAAATTTAGACAATATTATAACCTGATTACCACAACAATCGTACCATCTTAATATGAACTAATACCCTAATTAATGCAAGCTCATTACACATAGAGAGCTTTTGAAAAATGGCAAGACATACTCTTATATCAGAGGTGATTGTGCTCCGGAAAAAGTCCGGATTTCAGGATATATCCCTAACCACGATCCAGAAACCCAAGGTCCAGAAGTTTCAAGAAATCATCGATGACATTTATGTATAAAAATTCTTGTTTATTTTATTTAAAAATAATAGAACTAGAATTTATACTTTGCATCTCTTTCATTTGTAAATATTTTTATCTGGTAGAATAATAAATGTGATTTTAGATAAAAGTGAACTTATGCAAAATTATTAATTTAAATTATACTGCATATAATTTATTTAGAATTTCATGTTGTGAAAACATCAATAATTTAAATTTATAAAGACATTAATTTTTTTTAAACGCGCAATTAATGATTTTACTCAAGAAATTTTCTGGATTTTTGATTTGGGCTCACAATCACCGCTATATATATACACGCATATACAGGGCCAGCGCTAAGCATTTGCCATCTCGTCGAATACTATAAAATCGTAAATTTGGCAAATAAAATTGTGTTCTAGCGAAAGTATTGAAGAATGATTTTTTCCAATGGAAAGAAAAATATAGATTATGGTAGTATCTTATATATAGACATGTAGTAAATTATGCGTACAGAAGTAGTATATAATATGTAGACGGATCATGGGTTAGAGTCCTCTTGCCGTCAGGCCATCCGTGTGAAGTTTTCTTCTCCATGTAACGCAAATGCTGATTAGTTCCATAAGAAAAGTCCTCCACGAGGTAAATTTCCCTCAATACTTGATCCAGGAGTTCCCTTGTCTTCTGGATTAGGTTCAAAATTACAAGGCTACGCAGTTGAACATTGATAGCCGTAAACCCAAAAATTGGGTCTGCTGTTCAATGACGATTGCAAAAAAAGAAATCAACTTACGTTTATTATGTAAAAAGTAATACATATTGCTGCAATAGATTTGACTAAAAATTTGTTAATCAACTCCTAATAATAAAACTTCTTATTTACTTGGAACACCTGGAAAAAATGAACATATTTCACTAACATAACATCTTATTTACCTCAACCCTTTCTACACATAAATCCTCAAAAAGGAAACCCAAAAAGTGCCAGAAATCATTAAAACGTCTGCCGGCCCCTTCCGGCAATATTTTATTCTGTCTATATAATTTATGGCACTTGAGGGACTATCCGTGTTTGATTCGAACGAAAGAATAGGTATCGATGGCAGATAAAAGTTTTATCTTCTATGACCACATAAATCAGTAGCGATAGCACAACAAACGATTTCTAACAAACACCCTTTTACCCTTGGAAAATGCCCCCTTGTAAACATTGAATTTTACTGCCGGTCACTCCCATGCGTTTTAGTGAGAATAGGGGTGTGAATAATATTTAGCACATTGTACTAAGGTTCGGATTCAATGTGCTTACTTCCGAAATACGTATTTTTTTCTTCTTTTTACTCTGTTGAATATGATAGGATATTCGATATAATATTTATTGTTTGCAAAAAAAGAAAGGGGGCCGAAAACGACTCATTTTGTCCAGTTAGCCATGATTGTGAAGGAAAGCAGGCACTGTTATGTTATGGCATAAAAACAGGTGAATAACCTTACTACAGTAATGGCAGAATTAATGTTATAGTTAAGGTCCTATAAATTATTAGGTAATATTTTTAAATTGTGCGAGATAGTTCCGGCATATTTTTAAGAAAATAAATAAATGAATGAAATTAAAAAAAAAGTAATTAAATGAATAAATAAATAAATATATAAATAAATATATATAACGTCGTTGCCGAGTGGAAGGATTTAAACATGTCCCAGGCAGGGAAGGAGGGTATAAAATATGTTTATTAATTATTAGACAGAGAACAGCTATAAAAGTGTGTTTACGAAATGTTGCGCTCTTCGATATAAATTAGGGAAAATCTTGCAAAGTAAATCCGTAAAAGGCTTCGTCATAGGGAATAAATAGATTAAAGGACAGGATCTTTTATTTTTCTTTATTTATAAAATATAATAAATTTATAAATAATTTTCTTTATTTATAAATTTTATAAATGCTACAAACTTCAGTAGGAATTATCCATTTTATAACTTTTATACGTTTTCTTATGCTAAAAAATTTTAGCCAATTTTATTCAAACACACTTCAAGAAAGCTGTAGTTATTAACAAATGGAAACCTAAATTAAAAGAGGTAGAAAAGTTAACATGAACTTTAAAAATTGGTATTAAGTATTCTTACCACGGCCTTAGAAAGGGTTAAGTGGACTTTTGTTTTGGAAAAAAATACTGGTAAAAAAAAAAGATCAGAAGCAAAATTGATAAATTGCAATCAAACACCAAATAAGCATTCGTTGCCTCACAATGATTAAGCTTTCTTGCTACAACGATGTGGAGTAGGATAAGCAAAACTTTACTATTTCTAACTAGATAGAGAACCTGTTGACTGAACAGCGGGGATTCTTCCCTTGTCTAGTTGTTATCGGTGCATCATGTAAAAACATTTCCGATGACAAGAATAAAAAAAATAAATGAAACTGAATATAACAGCTTTTCTTTATTCATAAGCAGCAATACATGTGATTCATTGATATTATCATCTGAAATACAAAACATTATATTTTGTAAAATAAGTGTTGGAAACGTACACACTTTTAAATATAGTTTCCCTTCAAAATCATCTATTAGAAATGAAAATAAGTCTAATTGCTTCGAACAGGCATATGGTGATAGAATCGGAAATTAAGTTCTAGTTCAAAATTTTTTAATTTTCAGGCACAGGCGGTGATGTTTAATACTTTCAGCTAACAATGGTTCATAGCACTTCATAGCATTTTTCATAAGCATCTTATGTTTTTTTTTTCTTCTTTTACTAAATTTAACCTAGGAAGAAAAAAAGTTAAAGCAATTAAAAAATTATTAGTTATAAGCATCAGCATTCAATAATAGAACATTCAATAATAGAAGATAAAAAGAGTATTTTTAATGAGTCTAAAAATTGCTGCATTTTACACTATATAAATCATATGAGCAATATTTTAAAGAATCGTTTTCAAGAAATACATATTTTCCAAAAACTGACAGTTTATACAAAAATGAACCACGCATCGATGAGTTCGCGCAATATTTTGAAGAATCATTTTTTAGAAATACTTATTTTTTTAAATACTAACAATTCATACAAAACTAAAAAATTTTTTCAATGATAAGGACAAAAATGAACCATGCAGCGGTGAGTTTGCGCAATATTTTGAAGAATCATTTTTTAAGAAATACATATTTTTTAAAATACTGACAATTCATACAAGCCTTACATTTCTTTGCAATGATAAGGACAAAAATGAACCACGCAGCGGTGAGTTCGAGCAATATTTTGAAGAATCATTTTTTAGAAATACATATTTTTTAAATACTGACAATTCATACAAGCCTTACATTTCTTTTCAATGATAAGGACAAAAATTAACCACGCAGCGGTGAGTTCGCGCAATATTTCGAAGAATCATTTTTTAGAAATACATATTTTTTAAAATACTGACAATTCATACAAACCTAACACTACTTTTCCTAAAACTACTAATAAGGACAAAAATGAACCACGCAGCGGTGAGTTCGCGGAATATCAATGTGGAACCGTGAATCGGTGAGTCCGTATAAGCGAACCAGCTGGTCGCCGCAAACAGCAACTAAGTAATATAGTGATTTTATTAATAATAAATATATGAAACAGAATGTTAAGGTTTCCCTACAATATATTATTATTTTTATTTTAAAGTGATAGCGAAATATATGTCCATCTGTTGAATTTATAAATGTAATTCAAAATGATTTTCACCGCCTACAATACGCAACAAAAGTATTCTATACCACTATAATATATATACTATATATTATAGTGGTACCAAACTAACCATGAACGCAATTTGAATCTTTCATCACTTCGCAACCACTTCAATTTAGATTAAATTCATCCTGGATGTATCAGCCTATTATTCTATTCCCTTATAATATATATACTATATATTATAGTGGTAACAAACTAGCTATCAAAGTAATTTGAATCTTTCATCACTTCGCAACCTCTTCAATTTAGATTAAATTCATCCTGGATGTATCAGACTATTATTCTATTCCACTATAATATATATACTATATATTATAGTGGTACCAAACTAGCCATCAAAGTAATTTGAATCTTTCATAACTTCGCAACCACTTCAATTTCGATAAAATTCATCCTGGATGTTATCAGACTTCTGTGTATGCAATAAGTTTACAAATCTTTGTGCCGATAAAGAAAATGTAATAATCCATTTTTAAAATTTTAGGAATATATTTATAAATATATATTACTTAAAAATTAGATCGGCTGTTCAAGGACTGTTAATAAAATACGCATTAAAAAATTACTTCTACTAGTTGTAGTCAATAACCGTAATTAAACCACGTTTACTATGTTGAGAAATAATCATTAAGGATGCAATTAATGGGTGAAGAGTTAAGTTCGAAACGCAAAATTTCACAGTTAGTATAATTAACGTTCTGTAATGCTAATAAAAGGATGCTAGAAATTAAGACTGAATTATCTCCATTCACTAAAATCTATTTTGGTCTAAATGACCTTGACATTAGACATGAACTGAAAACACAAATTCATTCTTTAGTCTGCGGGGCATAATAGTTGTTTTATGCTTCGAAATGAAAAGTATTGATGTATAAAAGATTAAACATTCACTTACAAAATAAGGTATTAAATGTCTCTAATCTAGTAATAATACGTAAGCGAAACTTTTTTCATGATGTTTGATTAGGACAAAAATTACTTAGAGAGGAAACTGACTTTATAATTCGATGGAAACATATACCATAATGTTCATTGATAAAATGGCGGGAGGAAAAAAAAATCTGGAAATCTACATATAAACAATACGAATGGCTTCTCAGAGCTGTGATCGGTTTCGTATAATATCAGCTGTCGCAGTTGCAGCTGTCCTTCCATCCAGAAAGGATTAAATGTCCCAAATCTGATCTTAACGCGATGGAAGAAAAGTGCTGTCAGCCGTAATTTTCTTTTTTTAGCTTTTCAACTGTTTGTCACGTGAGTTTCGGTCTGCTTTTGATCGGATTTCAGATTTGTCCAACTCACGAAGAATAACTTTGATTGGATTTGGGGGGGATTTCCAGCAAAACCTAATGCACCCCCGTAACTAGCCAGCTTGAAAGGTTTTTAAACGTGGAATAAATAAAAAAAAAATCAACGTGTTGGCGGTTTTGTATTCTCATGGATTTCTGAGTAGAATTACACTCAGTTGGAGTGCAGAAGTTGTTACTATGCTGCTGTCACATGCACCTCATCTACAACGGAATTTCCGTATTTTAAGAAAATATATTTCCAGAGGAAGCAAAAGCTGTTCATACGTCTTTCAATAAACCAGAATAAAAGAAATGTTTTTACTATGTTAAACCTTACATAAATTATCAGATAGGTTAATGGCCATGTTCTTAACCCTTTGAAACAGATGGAACACCAGTGTTCCTTTTATGTATATACAGAGGCCTGCCATCTACTACGCTTTTTTAAAAATATTTTATAGAGTGGTAGACATTAGAAACCAAAGCCTTCAGAATTTTTGGTAACTTTGCCAAGATTTTAAAACCTTCACCCTAGAAGGAGGTGGAAAAAAGTGGCGTTCCATATAAACTTTTAAATAATTTACATTTAATAATTTACATAATTTACAAAAACATACCTTAGTATTTTTAATTATAAAAAAAAGCTGTCTAATAGGAAGCATTTAAAAAAGTTTTGTTAAAATTCAAAATTTGTAAAAAGTTTAGTTCATTACCTATTGACGCAGATTGGACACCGGTTCATGGGTCAAGATATCATCGCACTCTTACGGATTTCCCGGAAAAGTTTAGTTTTATATTTAACGAGGTGTCAAAATTTATGTAATGACATTTAATTCTTCTTTGAATAAATGCAGTTTGTAATGATTTTGACTTTCACTGCATTTAAATAATATTAATTTATGTATGGTACGCACTATAAAAATGGTCTTCAGTGTTGGCTAAATTTTAACGATGCACCAGCGTACAATCTCAATTTAATTCCTACCGTATTTTAACTAAATAGCGTATAATCTCAATCCAACTTTTCCCTACCTCTAGGAAAAATTTTTAAAAAAAATTTTAAATTTGAAAGTTAGTGAAAATTAGCATTATTTAAAATTCCTACCACAATTATCAAATAAATATGATCAAAAGAAGAAGAAAATTAGCATTATTTAATATTAAAATTCCTTTTGGTCGATCCGAATTTTGTATGGTTAGAAATCACTTTTTTAAAAGTTACAAGCATTAAATTGTGTCATCAGTTTTACGATGTAAAATCATCCATATAACACTTGCTGCTAATGAAAGACACTTAGTATAGAAATATGCATTTCCATATTTTTGTCTAAACTCTGTATATTTCCAAGAATCTATACCCAAATGGCCCCCTTAGGGGCTGGGCAGTATTTAGCTATAATATTTCGCATAATTTAAGATTTAGTTAAAGTATTTTTTATCATTATCTACTTTTTCGAAAATACTTTTTCGAAAATATTTTTTAAACCATAGTTTTGTAAATATGAGTAGCTTTATTTGTCATTTGTTTAATATGTTTGTTTGGAAATATTTTTTATCTCAAAAAGCATAAAATGTGGTTCTATGACAGTGCGTGAAAATAAAGTGTTTAAGTAAGAGTGTTTGACATATGATTAATACATGAGTCGTGGGGGCTCGGGAGATAGAACGTTCGTCTTCCAATGAGTTGAACCGGGTTCGAATCGCAGCGATGGCTGTTCGATACGAATTCCGCATCCGGCTCGTACCGACCACAGTGCAGACGTAAAATATCCTGAATGATAGACGGGTCATGGGTTAGAGTCCCATAACCGTCAGGCTAGCCGTGGGAGGTTTTCAAAGTCTTCCTCTTCATATAACGTAAATGCTGGTTAGTTCCACCAAAAAGTCCTCCACGAAGGCAGAACTTTCTCCTGATACTTGATCCAGGAGTTCCCTTGTCAATGGATTGGGTTCAAAATTACATGGCTACATAGTTGAAAAATAGTAGTCGTAAACTCAAACTTGGATCGGATGTTCCACAACGATTATAAAATGAAATATAGTTAATACAAAATCGTTATTTTAAGGCATACCCTCCAACTTATGAGGATTTTGAAAATAATTCTTTCTAGTGGTAGCGAACCAAAGTAGAAATTTTTAAAGCAAATGGATCTCTCATAAAACTTTTATCAGAACTTAAGAATCTAGCCATATGGCCTGCACTTTTATAAGTAATAGTGGACAAGTTACGCTAAAATTAATTTTTTTTTAAATATTAAAACATTAATTTTGCTACCGTCTGAAAAGAAGATTTCTGAAACTACGGAAATTCCGTAGCAGTTGGAGGGTATGTTTTAAGGTATGAATAAGCCCAATGAAAATTAATAGCTCATGAATAACCAAAGTTGATATGCAAAATCGAATTAACTCAATTGAACTATTTCTTTTTTTTTACATTATACATGGATATATATCCTACAAAATAATAGTGTCTGTGCATTTTGGATTCACACTATTTATCACGGTTTTAAGCCATCGATTAAGCTCAAATCTTATACCACAAAGACTGTTAAAAAACGTAAACAAGTTTGTGACAGGAGCAAAAGGCGACGTGATAAGGATAAACACATAAACATCTTCCGAAGCATTCGGTTTCAATCAAGTGCTATGAATCGTTTTCACGCTTAGCGAATGAATCGTTCGCGACCCGAAATTTGAATCGGAATCTTGTGTGTACGGTCGATTAGCAAAGTGGAGCGTGCATCCCGAAC